TTAAACTTAGCAAATGCACTCACAATGTTGAATGGTCGATATGTATAAAAGCAAAACTAACAGAAAAACCTTATCCAAAAATTAATTTCAGATATGAGATCAAGATCTAGTGCATACAGATTCGTGTGGGCCGATCGAAGTTAACAGCTTAGGAGGGAAAAGATATTTTCCTAACTTTCATTGATGACTATTCGTGATATACTCAAATTTATTCTATTGTTTCAAAAGATGAAATAATAGGTAAACTTAAACAGTTTGCTGCATAAAAAGCAAATAAATTTAGAATGAAAATTAAGGTTCTCAAATCTGGCAATGGTCCGAATATTGTAATGAAACTATTGAAAATTATTTAAAGAAACTTCGTATTTTTCATCAAAATTCAGTTCCTTATTGCCCAGCACAGAATGGCTTCGCTGAAAGAAAAATCATTCTTTATTAGAAACAACAAAACCTATGCTATTAAATTCAAAATTACCGAAAGGCTTCTGGGCTGAAGCCATTTACGTGTATTTGGATGTAAAGCATACCATTTTGTGAACAAACAAAAGCGGTGAAAATTAGACAACAAAGAGCAAGAAGGAATATTCGCAGGATACAATTTACGATGCAAAAGGTACAGGATGTATGCAGGTGAAAGACAAATAATAGTTAGTAGAACTGTTAAATTTTCAGAAAACACGCCAATATCCGACAAACATGTACAAAATAATACTAAAGATTTATAATTAATTCACTTTGATATCTTGGAAAGGGCTGAAGAAAATAATGAAGAAACACGTCTTGATGGTAGCTGTATAGAAAATTCAAAAGTATCTGAAAAATTAATTAAAAGTGAAGAAGAAAACGTAGAAAGAAGGATTTCTAGTAGAACAACTAAAGGTATTCCACCAGATTGATTCTCCTATAAAGCAGAAGACGGAGGATCAACATTATCTCGAAATAAAAATCCAGAAAGCTTATAAAGTATTTCTCCCGCCTTCCTAACATGCCTTCGTGGCGTGATGGTCTGCAAGCTGGGCGCGTATTCCAAAGGTCCGTGGTTCGATTCCCTGCGAAGGCGTTGCTCATAGGCAGTAAATGGGTGTTCAAAACCAAATACGATGAAACTGGTAATATGATAAAACACAAAATAAAGCATGAGTAGCATATAATAATGCAAAAGTTCATCAACTAGGTGTTAAAACAGCATTTCTGCATGCCAAGTTAAATAAAGAAATATACATGGAACAACCAGAAGGAATTCGAAGTTCCGGAAGATAGAAATAAAATTTGTTAACTAAAGGCAATTTATGATCTCAAACAGAAACTTACTGGAATGCAGAAATTGAAAAGACACTGAAGAATATTGGGTTCAATCAAAGCAAAGCAGATTCGTGCCTTTTCACAAAAAAGGACTGTGATAAAAGAATCAATGTAATTGTGTATGTCCATGATATTCTAATAAGTTTTAAAAAAGAAGGACGAGTTCTTCAAGTAATACGATTTAAAGAAACGTTATCAAATAACACATCCAGGTAAAGCAAAACATTTTTAGGCATGAAAATAAATCGAAATGAAGATGGGAGTTATCTCTTATCTCAGAAAAATAAAATTAATCAGCCTGTCAAGCAATTTAAACTTGAAGAAGCAAAACCTACTAGCTCGCCAATGGAAACACATTATTATAGTCTAAATCAGGAAAAAAATCTACCTTCAAAATGATAAATTTCGACAAGCCATCAGAAGTCTTTTATATACATAGAGTCTCTCGCAAGACCAGATATCACAGCTTCAACTCACATACTTAGAAGATGATGTAATAATCAGCGTCAAAAAGACTGTAATGCTGCAAAAAGAATCATTAGATATTTGAATACAACAAAACATTTATCTATACATATTTCATCGAGAGAAAAACCATCAGTTTGTTCAAATGGTGATTGGGACAAGATATTGAACATAGAAAATCCATGTCAGAAAGTGTAATTTTATTAGGCAGAATTTTCATTTCGTGGTTTTCAAGAAAAAACAAAAACACGCTTCTCTTTATCCTCAACAGAAACTGAATATGTTTCTCTCTCACAAGCTACACAAGAACAAGTGGCTGTTAAATTTAGCAGAAGATTTACATCTACCCCAGACTTTACCGATAAAAGTTTTTTGAAGATAATCAGTCAACAATAAACTTGTAGAATTTGAAAAGTATAGATCGCCTACAAAACATATTGACACAAAATTTCATCATGTACGCGACTTGCATAAGAAAAGAATTATAAAACTCTGTTACCTTTCAACACAGCAAATGGTTTTGATATTATGACTATATCTATTCCTAAAGCTGAACTTCAGTTTTTCAGGAATGAATTATAACTGGTATTAGTATCATTAGCAAAACAGGGGCAATGTTAGAATAAATTAGTGTCACTTTTTGCGTAGCAAAACTCGGCAAAGGCAAAAAAGGCAAAAAATAACGAAGAGTGCGAAAACGATGTATAATGGCTACAGAGGATTCTATTTATGCTCAGATACCAGAAGTCTTAAAAAAATTTTGTGCTTATGTTGTATTTTGTGCTTCATTCTTTTTGGCATGTTACCTTCTTTTGTGGAACATACTCCCGATAATATTGCCTAACAGGTAAGACTGATACTATATAAACTTATGAATAAATCTCTTATAATTTCCATATTTAGACACCTCGATTTAAATGTAGGCAAAGTATTATAAGTCAGTTCCATTTGGCATTATTTTTTGATTTGTGTCCAGATCTAATGTATAAAGAAATTATCCTTTTACATCTTATTTCATGCATTATTTTTATAGTTTTTAACCTCTTTTTTATTCGCTTCCTTCGCCTTAATTTTCCTGAGTTTTTAGATTTATTTGATTAATTAAATTGATGTACTAGTTTATATCGTTTTATAATATATGTGATCTATATAAGAAAAAGGGCCGGACATCGTTTATTGTGCAAAGGCTGGTTCTAATGTGAACTTATGGCTAAACATTGATTTGGGTAAGTAGGTTGACCTCGCCTTTTAATCAAATCAGCTTTACATTTTAAATTATCTTCTGCCTTACTTTGCGACTTTTAGCTAGTTGATATCTTTAACTAAAAATGATGTTAAACTAAATTTACGAAACTACTTATTAATTGACAAATGTGATTAAAACTTAATTATAATCAGCTTGCGGTCACGCAAATTTAAATCTATAAAATGAAAAATTACATCAGTTCTTGAAGAGTTTAACATAATATTACAGCAGTAACTAATTATTTCTGCAAAAATATTGTTCTAATCTGGAAGCATACCTATATGGCTTCACTTTCCTGAAAACATCCGATAAATAAAGCCCACATATTGTTGATCTATAATACCATATTAGAGGGGTTATTTATAAGTTTCAGTTCTCACACGGGCTGGTAGGAGATTTTCCATTTTATATGAATCATAACATACATAAGCATCCAATTCGCATATGAGAAACCCGATTGATTGATTTGATTTTGATGCATATGCTGAACTGGCCCAAACTTGACCTTCGTAAGCTTTATGAAATCTGTTACTTAGAGTGCACTGAATGAATGAAACAAGAATTAGAAATTCCATTTAGAAAAAACAGTAGGCAAGGTAGAAAAAGAGGAGATCAACTTTTGTAAGTATTTAAGTATTCTGTTGTATCTTAAATTAACATTCAGTATCTAAAATTTGAGAGTTAAATTTTTTTTTTAAATCTACTAGTGCGGTTTTTACCAAAACTTGGAATTTTGACATAATTTAAAACGTAGAATCGAAACATGGAGATATATTGGTATGACGTTTCAGAAAAGTTCGATTTTACGTCAAAATACCTGTATTAGAATAATGCTATATTTAAATCTAACATATATCCTAAGCCGCGTTTTCGAGATATGAGAATTGCAAGTTAAATTTCGTCAATCGTCTCAGTAGAATTAGAGATATAGAACTGTGTCATTTCTTTTGGGTAGATTGACATTTTGCTAGGTTACTTTAGATTATTTTAATACGAAAACACACGAAGTCATTTGCGTGAAGGGAGAATCACCTTCGTGGTGTCTTTCTAAAGGAAACTGGTTGGTATGCACGCAAGCACCTATGCAGCAATCCGTCTGCAAGAATTTGTGTCTGCTTCGAACTATCAGTGTTCAGTTCACATTTGTGCCTGGGTGGAACTATCAGTGTTCAGAACAACCTTCATGGTGTCTTTCTAAAAGAAACTGACTGGTATGCACGCAATCATCTATGCAGCAAATCCATCTGAAAGAATTTGTGCCTCAGTTGTCTTAACACTTCTTCATTGGCAAACGCTTCTAGGAAAATCTTGCGAATTTTTTTACTTACTGTGTGCTCCTCCCTTAGACACTAAACGGAAAGGGAGAAATGCCTCGCGAGGTCTTTCTAAGGGAAACTGACTCGTATCCACATTACACATGGGGAAAAGCACGAAAACGCCCATTCAGGCAGCTCGTTCCCTGGGACTCAAACCCCGGACCGAACTATTAGTGTTCAGCTGCCTTTTTACCGATTGGCTGCTGGTGGGCAAAACTCATCATTGACAAAGATTTTCTAAGGATAATTGTGTTTTAATTACTTTAAACAGAGGAAAGACTATAAAATTATCAATACGATAATCTTTTCTTGGTAGATGAATGAAAGATTTATTAGTGGAATGGCAATATCCATTGATCATTAATGGACTCATGGTAACAGGAAGCTTAATTACAAAATACTGCAACATTTAGAAGTAAGTTCTCAAACTAAGAGTGGCAAACATAATTCCATTACATTAATCTTGTGTAATCGGTTTCTTTGAGGTAAAATTAAAATGATAATTTTCGTGTGCTTCAGTCGAAGAATTTGTATAGTTGTTTCGTAACTTTACAAATATATTCGTATTTGTACAGTTGATTCATTGATTAGACTATTCATATTAATGTACAGAAAACAACAATGTATACACTATCTAAAATTCATCACTCAGGAATCGTATATATACGTACATAGAGAATTTTGTTTATATTGTTTTGCTTCTTGTGGACTGTCAACTAAAGAGTTTATACTGTAACATCCTAGGCGACTTCCAGAAATCATCCCTTTTGTCCTCAAGAAAGGTCCTTCAACGTTTTCTTCTTGAATATCTTGGTATCTGAAATACCAAATTCATATTTTATATGCACAAATAATACAAATATGAACCTTGCTATTTTAGTTCGATTTGGAATAAATTTAAAACTCTTTTCATTTTATTTTTGGTCTTATTTTACGAAATTGCCTAAAATACAAAAATTTGTGACTATCAAGAACTTTGAAATAAAATATTTGCGACATAAGCGTATTTTGCTGCAGAAGAATAATTATTTTTACTTTTTTTGGCGGTGCCGATTTTGATTATGAAATCAGAGTTCTTTTGCGAAGTTCCATCATCACAACCTCAGTACTATAACGTGTAATGTCTTTCCGAACTCTAATAATAATAAATTGATTGAGTTGCTCCTTGATTTTATAAAACAATATTCCTTATACTGTCCGTCGCATCCCCAAATGAGATCGCAAAGCAAAATTTTTGGATCGCGAAAATTTCAATTTGATACATTAATTTAAAGATATATTAGTCGTAATCCCTTCGTTACCTTTAATTTAATATATGTTACAGAGTTTGTTCAGCGCAATTATAAAATCGTAATATTCGCGAAGTTGAGATCAAGATTATATTTATATATTGCAAAATATCACTAAGGGCATCATAATAGCGGTATCTCATTGCAATTTCAGCAATTATATGTTGTTTCAGAATCAAAATATGCTACAAATACAGTAACGTGTTGTGCCGCTTAGACGTGTTAGGAATAAGAGACCACTGCGACTAGTCTAGTGGTAACTCTTTTCTGGGACGTTATTTATTTATTTATTTTGCAAATGCCAAACATTAGCGCTTAAGCCATTAGTTCACAGGCTCTCCAGTACATTTTAACAATGTCCTTACATCGGGAAAGTGCAGTACAATTATTTAAATGCTCAAGAATCATAGGCTGATTGGAGTCACACAAAATACAGTTTGGGGAATCCACCACTTTTATTCTATAGAATTGGTCTCGCAAACAGTCATGTCTGGTCAGACGCCTAAATAGAGCTACCGCTGTCTTTCTTGGAAAACTGGGAATGAAGTTATCTCTTTCCCCAGAATCCTCCAACTCTTATCCATAGCACGTTTCTTACCTTGCTTAAGAATTTTCTTAAGAGTCAGTTTAGCAAACAATTTAGTCGTATGGAATGAAAGCGGTCGATTAATGCGCTGCATTATAAAAGTTCGTTTGTAACCAATGTATCAACTTTTTCCATAATTCCACAGTGGGCTGGAATCCATTGGAAAGAAATTCTGTATGCCATTGCCTTAAGCAAAGGCGTACAGTCTAAGATTCTTTGAGAACTATATTGATTATTCATTTAAACTAGGGGTCTTCAACCTTTCACGCCCGAGAGCCACATCAATAAATTCATAAGCATCCGCGGGCCGCACATAAGCCAAAAAATAGTGTAGTCAGAAAATTTATATAAAAAAGAGAAGTTTTTTTTGCAAGAATACCATTGATTCTAAGAGAATAGGTAGTTAAGACACAATAACACGCCGAATAAATACTAATTCAGATGCCAAACAACAAAAATCAGCGTTAATTTACAAAATTTTCACAGGACTAGTTTCGATGGTTTTACCGAACCATCATCTTCAGCTGCAAAACCGCAAAATAAATTTTCTCCAAAAGTGTGTTTCTTAGCCGTGTTCTTGTTTTTGATTTTAGGATTTTCATTTTACTAAAAAGCTGTTGACATGCGTAAGTGCTGCCAAAGACAGAAGACATGAAAAGTGCATGTTTATAAATTTCTGGATACTTGTCTTCGGTCACGCACTTTGAATAAAAATCAATTAATGTGTGGATTTTCAAAAAAAAATTCATTGCATTTTCACTGCAGAATAACATTGTAAATCTATAAATTCCATTTGAAATTCAGTTGGAACGCATATTACATAAAATAAATTACATAAAAGATAAAGCGAAATTTTTGAAAAATTCGTCTTTTTCAGCTAATTTTATCTCAAATAATATCAGGCATGTCAATAAAATGTTTTAAATCAAGAATAAGAGACAAAAGTTTTCATAAAACAAAAAATTAACAAGGCAATTTTTCTTGAAATCCAAATTTTTTAAAATTCTTCAATTCTTCTTCAAATTCAAATGTGGGGCCACTAAAATGCCTTCAGCGAGTCATCCATGGCTCGCGGGCTATGAGTTGAAGACCCCTAATTTAAACTATTCTGCTTCTTTTTAGAAGCACTACTCCAAATACAAAAATGGTCGGCAAGAAGGGCAGGTGCCAGGGCAACCATCCACGATGCCAGAGTCTCCCTGCAATTAATCTATGAATTAGCCCTTTGTTAATATTTGAGTTTCACCAATGCTTCCGGTTAGTAAACTCGAAGACATATGGGCTCTAAATTTGTATATGATCACTGCTTTCGTAGTGGAGGCTCTGTATTATTATTAAATATTTGAACACAACTATCCCGAGGACGCTTTGCTCTTGTTGATGTTATAGTATCATGTTTTCAAAGGGTATTACTGAGTTGAATTTTTTTAATAAATTATGATAAGCAATAAACTTTACTTAATGCTTACTTTACATGTGTTCAATGAATTTATTATTGACGTAAAACTGGAAGAGAAACACACAAACGAAGAATTTAAAATTCAACAAAAAGGCACTTTTACACTAGGGGTATATTTTGAATTTCAAAATATGCTTTGCTATATCCTTAAATGTGAATATACCCTTTTGGGGAAAGGGGGAAGCATCCTTAAAATAATAACGATCATCTCAAAAATTTTAGGCTAGTTCGTTCACACCAAGTATGCAAATAATTAAATTTTGAACGCCAGTAAGTATCCATACCACAAGTTTTTTTACTGCGCAAATACCATCGTATAAAACAGGAACAACTGCGGATGGATTTATCTTTTCTCATCATGGGTGATGCAACTCCATGGAGATATAACCAATAATGCCGTTCCGAAGTTGTTCAAGACTTTACAGACAACTGGATGACTTTGAAATACTTTTCTCATACAGAGAAATGGGCCATTACCTGCACCGTTCAGACACGGTTCTGTAAACGCGTCAGTAACAATAGTTGCTGCAAGATTCTCATTGACGGAATCAAGGCTCAGGAGGGCAAAGGTGCACGAATGTGAAGCAAGATCGGATGGCTGTGCAACAGCCAATAGCATTATTGTTTGCTATTCAACGTGATACAGTCGTTTTTCATATCACCTGTGACACCTTCTACCATCTCACTGCGCTAGGAGTTGTGCTCACAGAGACCTTTAAAACGGCTGTCTCTCACCCCACAACATAGACAGTGTCGTCAAGAGTAGTGTCGTAGCCGATCATCGTGGCTGCCAGCAGAATGGCTTCGCATCGTCTTCAACAATGAATCTTTCTTGGAGCAGATGACCACCGGATCCATGTTTGGAGATGCCCCAATCAGCTTTTATTTGCAGACGCACATAGCCATTACACCTGGTGTTATGTTATCGCGTGCTATCTCTTACTACAGTATGTCAAAAATAGTCATCCTGCAAACAACTTTAACAGCTCAACCATTTGTTAATAACATCCTGAGGGTGTTTGTGTTGCCCTTCACGGCACGCCATGCTCGAGCCATTTTCCATCAATGTAATGTTAGACCCCTTAAAAGATTCGCATGCTTCTGGACTGCCTCCGAGCTGTTGACTCTCTTCCTTGTCCAGCAAGGTCACCAGACGTTTCACCAATCTAAGATGTATGGGAAACTGCAGGCCGTCGGATTCGGGCACCCGAAAATGACCCAGATCTAGAGCAAAAATTGCAGAAAGCCTGGCATAATACATCACATGATGAGACTGTGGAACAACCACCACTGAAAACGAAAGCGATAAAGCTGTTTCGTCCGACGTTATTTCTCCTCACCCCCTATAACTGGAATTGGACTCAATCGAAAAAAAAAGAAAACTAAACTTCTCTTCCTGTATGAATCATTCTTATGCATTCTGCTATGTAGAGCTGATAACGCTTGTACCGTTGCTAAATATTTGTTTTTTTCTCATAAGTGAAAAATATGTTTTTTGTATGCTAATAATAATAATTGTGCTTCTTACATACAGCAAGATGGATTACCTATTAATAAGGTAAGATACTTTGACTCTGTTTTATTTATCTGCTTGTCCCAACCTGCGTTTAGATAGTAAATAAATGAACTGCTCGAACCATCAACAGAGATTAGAAATCTTTACTTTCTTCGTGTTTTCTTTTTTTTTTTTTTTTTTTTGGAGGGGGCAAAAGAGTGTATTATTCAAATATCAATTAAATATCCCCAACAAATTACACAATTTTACTTTAACCTGCACAATAGGCTAATAAGCTGAAATTTCTGTTGCTTCTTCGAAACTTTTCCTTTATATAGAATATAAAACATTTTCTGTGTACTTACCCACCAATGCCATTAAAAAAATCAGTTAAGTTCTGGCCTAACTCTACAAATTCTTCTAACGTCATATTGTGATCCCAAAGATAATATTCCTTTTTAGGAATCTGAAAGAAATACAAGGTGAACAAACAAGCATCAAAATGCACTATGTATATTTGCATTAGAATTTCAACCTACTACTTAGTTTTTCTAAAACCACGTAAAAACTCAAAACGTCTTTATTAAAAATTGTAAAATACAAAAAAGCATAGAACATCAAACACAGATGAAAACGGTTTAAAAAATTACAATTAGAATTAAAGTTTCTAGGCAAAAACAAACAATTCGGCCGGTGCTGAGGAAGGCAGATTTTTCCGTGCGCAAACTGCAAGGTTACATTTAATCGTACTTTGCAAAACGACAATGAAGTTGGTACGAAAACTGACTTAATTCACTAATCTAGTAACAGTTTCAATTGTTAAAAAAGGGTTATTCGTTAGGCTTGGCAGCGTCATTTTTAAATTGTTGATAATTCTACAACTATTGCATGCTGATTAACTAAAGGCTTAAAATCTTAACCGTAATATAAGGACAACAATCAATCATTTTTAGAGCAAGAAAAGCACAGTTTATCAACGTATAAAAATAAAAAAAATCTGATACCATCAAGCCAGGTAACACAGTATATATATAATATATATATATATATATATAGTACTATATATATATACTGTGTGTATATATATATATATATACTGCTCGACATTGAAAATACAACACCAAGAAGGACGGGTTAGAAATTTATGCAAATTTTAGAGTAGACGCACGTCACTGAGTTATGCGAATTATGTGAAATGCGCGGCTCTCCGACGCACGTGAAGTAAGATATAAGGGAAGGAACGTGCCAGAATAGGCAATATTCGTGTCGTTATTTCTGCCAGCCGAATTATCGAACAAAGTTGGTTTTTGTCCCGGAGGATACGTCTAATTGGAGAGAACGCCAGGCCGCCGTCAACGAAGGCATTTCCAGCCCAGATAGGCTGGAAACGAAAGCATATGATTTTATGAGGGGTATGGTGATCGGACTGAGAAGGGCGGTTTGACCCACATGGATGCGAGCACGGTGCATCGACTATGACGAACATGGTTGGAACAAGAAAACGTGGGAAGTAGGAGACTTTCAGGTGCAGCCAAAGTGACTTCACCAGGCGTGGATCGACGCATCCGCCGAGAAGCTGTGTCGGTCCCGCAAGTCACTTGCACCACGATTCTGCAGCACATGCGAGATACCCTGGATGTTCCCGTATCGTCCAGAACCATTTCCCGTCGATTGGTTGAACGTGGCCTGCACTCACGGCGTCCCTTAAGAAGACTGCCATTGACCCCACAGCATAGAAGCCAACGTTTAGAATGGTGCCGGACTGGAGCGATGTGTATGAGAGAATGGCGAAACGTCGTGTTCTCAGATAAGTCACGCTTCTGTTTATCCAGTGACAGTCGCCGCATACGTGTGTGGCGTCGGCGTGGAGACAAATCTAATCCGGCAGTAAGTGTGGAACGCCCCACCGCGCGACAACGTGGCATAATGGTTTGGAGCGCTGTTGCCTACGATTCCAAGTCACCTCTAGTTTGTATTCAGGGCACTATGACGGCCCAACGATACTTGGCTTGGATAATGTACTGCGGCCGGCGACAATCCCCTACCTTCAGGGGCTGCCTAATGCAATTTTTCATCAGGATAACGCCTGACCACACAGTGCTCGCATCTCCCAACATGCTCTGCAATGTATACAAATGCTTCCCTGGCCAGTCACCAATCGAACATGTGTGGGATGTGACCGGACGCCGTTTGCAGACTCTGCCCCTGCCCGGTTCAGAAGACGAACTGTGGCAAATGGTTGAAAGAGAATGGAGAGCGATCCTTCAGGACACCATCCGCAATCTTATTGACTCTATGTTTAGACGTGTTTGTTCGTGCATCGCTGTCCGGGGTGGTCCTACATCCTACTGAGCCGACGCCGTTCTCGCTTTGTATTCTGACTATCATTTTGAAATAAAAATCACTTATTGCTGCTGGCTGTCTCTGTCTTTTTTTTTTCAAATTTCATCACTTTCTGATCGCTCCTTCTTGGCGTTGCATTTTCAATGTCGAGCAGTGTATATTAAGTTTTTCTTTCAATTTTGAAAAAAAAATTCCTTATTCTTAGTGTTTTCCTCTTGATGTAAATTATTTTAATAATTAGTTTATTTGGCCTTTTTAAGTTTTTTTCCCAATGGCAGATTGTAAACAGTTACAATTTTTTAACACAGTCCATTAATCTATACTAAGGACAGATGCGGTAGTCTCTTATGGAGGCACCTAATAGGTGGGCCACCATTGTCTCCTATGAAGGGACGGACAGTTACAACCACGCCTTCTCCGGGCTTCGAACCCAGGGTCGCCTGACCCAGGTCTTCGATATCGCAGTCAGGCGACCCTAACTACTATACCGTCTGGGCGGTTTTACGTTTTTTTTGCAATTTTCATTTTTTTATTTTTCATTTTCAGCTTTTTTTTTAATATTAATTTTTGTTTTTTATGTTTTTATGTTTGGTTTTTTTAACATTTTTATATTATTTTTGGCCTTTTGTTGGTGCGAATATTTGCAGGGAAAAGATGTCAACATTCGAGGACCACCAAAATGTTGTTCTAAAGTGAATATTTGATTCTAATAAAGTGGTTTTGAGTCTCAAATGATTCAGAAGAATGAAACATGTTCTCGCAACTCATTAATCAACTTGGTTTAAGGCTTCAAAAGATTTTCCTTTGACAAGTTCTGTTTGAAGCGTTAAACAGAGGGAGATAAATTTTTTTTTCTTTTTTGTTTTGTTTTATTTTGTACTATTTTCAGTTGTTTACGTAAAGTTTCATAAAACTTAAATACACTCCATTTGGTAACGAAATCTCTTCACAATGAATTTTAAATCCACTTTACAATCCGTTTTGGAAAAAAGAGTCTTTATTCTGTGCGTACGTACAGATATCACGCAAAAACATTGTTCAAATAGATTCGAGAGCCATCAAAATCGCTATTTTCGTTGTAATATGATATCCGAAATTTTTCGCGATTACAATACTTCCTTCACTTCGTACAAGAAAGTAAAAATGGAATAAAACGTTATGCCGAAAATGTTATTAAGAGATTCTTTTATTGAAATCATAGAAATCTTTCATTCTTTTATACTGAAGCGTGTGCTTGTATTAAACATGATAAATTCCCATATAGTATTCTCATATGGTAGATTCTCTATAAATTTCATTTTAAATAGTAATACGTATATAGAAATTTCAATTTTTTTGTCATTTCATTAGTTATTAGATACTAAGTGAGATAATAATTTTTTCGTTAACTTTTGAATTAATGGTATGAACTCAGGCATATGTAAATTGCATTTTAAACATGTATGTGAAGTTCAAGGGCAATTAGAAATCACTGAAAAAAGCTGTTAGTTTTTTTTTACAAGCTTTAAAGAATTAACGAAACCTGTGATTTAATCTTGGGATCAGGTAGACCACGGTAGCTTTCTGTTACTAGAAAAATCAAATTGTAATTCCGTTGAATTCAAAACTTTATAAATTACAATTAATTACAGCTAAAATAAAGCATTGTATTTACTCTTGTATTCCCCTTTTTTTCTGGAAAATTTAGTGCTTGAAAATCAGGAGGGAGAAATTATGCAATGTATAAGGATGAAGTGTATACCATTTTTGAAGTATAAGGAAGTGAAAGACTAGCACATTAAAATATTCAGTAATATTATCATATTATGCTTTTCAAAACCCTTATTCCAGTAATATTCTTCTCATTACAGGATATACTTTCTTATTTGCACAAACATTTCACATCATTACTTAATTACTCAAACATTTCACATCATTACAGTAACTCAAACATTTCACATCATTACAGTAATATTATCATATTATGCTTTTCAAAAGACTTATTCCAGTAATATTCTTCTCATTACAGGATATACTTTCTTATTTGCACAAACATTTCACATCATTACTATAAGAGTGATCAAAGCCATTCTGGTAGTTGTATCTTTATCAGAGCTTCTACTTCTAATTTTAGATTTAAAAACAGAAATTCAAATTATTGCTATGTATTCAGATCTGAGCTCATTGCTATCGAAAGAAGTTCGAGGTATGTTTAGAATATTGTTGAATCTTTATTTGTAGATATATGGATACTAACTCACAGTTAATCCTCAATTCAACATCTAAGCGGTTGGAGAAAGGTTGCGGACAGGGCTGGACTCTCTATCCTAAACTTATTTTCTATGCTTTCAGTTAATTCCGAGAGGCATATCCAATGGATTCTCTCCTATATGGGCATTAGTGGCAACGATATTGCAGATTCTTTGGCAAAACCTACTGCTTTATCTGCACCAGGCAGATATGTTTTGAACTTATAATGAGGTGTTCTCCCGAATATAAGGAAATCAATGATCTCTGAAGCATACTTTGAATACAAGACTGGTACTCGAATGTTCGCCCTGGTGGTGCGCTACGTTTTGGCAGCCATAGAAGCCAGCAGACTTGCATAGCACGTTTCGACTATGGGCACTGGAGTACACTCTCCTATGAACAACGGCAAACAGATTTTAAGACCTGCACCAGGTACAGAACTGCTCAAGCGTCACCTGATTATATTTTTTGTTTGTTTTTTGTTTCCCCAATTTAGCAAGATAGCCATTTGCCTCAATTTTAAATAGACGTGTCCCTGTAATCTTAGTTTTCTGGCAGATCTTCGTCTGGTCAGATTTTTTTTATGCTACAAGTACAGATTTTTTATGTTACAAGTTGGTCCATTTTTCATGCTTTATGTTTCGGCTCTTCAGATTATTCATGTTCAGTTTTCATTTTGTTCACACAAAAGATACGAAAATTTCACTAACATTATTTACACATATACAAAACTCGTAACAATAATTTTGTTTTACAAAGTAAGTCATGCGCTATAAAATGTCTCTGAGGTCTCTGAGAGTATTTCCTGTAATGTTTTTGTTAATATTTATTTATTTATCACAAATGATTACTCATGAAATACGATTTTATTAGGAATTGAATTTTTTTTATTTTAATTTAGTAGCACCTATTTTATTTGTGAGAATGTGGTCAATTCATTCCACAACTTACATCGCAATTGTAGTTTATCGGATTTATTTGAAATTCCGTAAATTTTGCAGTTTCAGGTTTTGATATCGGGATGAAGACGAATATTGCAGAATATCAGAATAAATAGTCCGCCGCTGTTTTATACGATGCTTTGAACCATTCTTAATTTTGTCACTTAAAATTTTATTTTGATTTATTAGTTTCTCAAACAAGAATTCCTATAATGTCAGCACTGTATAAAGTTTACGTAACGAAATATTCCAATATTACGTTTTATCAAATGCAATACCAATGATTAAGTTTTATTAATTGTAACACTAATGGTTGCCTATAAAATTTAAGCTAGATATGAAATTTACGAGAGTTCTTCTAACGCACTGGTTAGTGGAAGTAAAAAAAAACAGTATATATTATATTAATATATGTCATTTACTGAATAACATACAAAATAATATCGATTTACTAGCAAATCCAGTACCTAGTGTTGACTTATCAACTGATGCATTAGAAGTGTACACGGGGCTTAAAAACCTAATTCCGTGTATGGCCTCATTCACATAGCAGAAGAATGGAAGAGGTTAATCGAATGGAAGAGAAACTTCTAATTTTAATACAGCAATATTCACATAAAAGCAACTGATGAAATCTAGAACATCAGTTGAAATGCGACGCTGATTTATTTTGGGGGAGATAAGTTTGCTGGAACAATAAGAATTTTCGAAGACAGAAATCTTTGAAAATAAATCATGATACAGGATCTGTATTCTTGGTTAATGTTTCAGCCCAAGAAAGCACAGAGAAATGTTTTTATTCTTTAGTAAGTATTCGAGCGAATACATGTTAGACTAATAGATAAAACCGTTCGACATAAATAAGGATTTTATCTAATTATCCATCTATAACGGATAGTATGAAACAGGTGCAACATTTAGAGCATAATAATCATGTACTATTATCAAAAGATTTTGGTCAAGAGATAGCTATCTGCTTCTATCAGAGATTTTGGAACGCAGCCATTACATAAGATTGATGAGCGTGCTGCTACTGTTTGTTTATTTATGTTTGTCTTTTAACAGCAATGCTCAGAAGAAAAAAAATTAATTGTGTTTGGAAACTCGAATTTTGTGAAAATGTTAGTAAGCCGTTCAAATCGCAGTTTTTAGATATGTTTTTATTTGTATTTAATTCAAGCGACGTAGAATCTAGATACATTCGTACTCCTAATGCTAGGAATTTAGTAATTCAATTAATTACAAAAATAGTTACCTACAGTACTGTTCGAAGATAATAAATTTTCAGTTTAATTTGGGATGCTCCTTCTTAGACTTCCCTAAGGGGTGGAAGACTTATTTGTGCCATTCCTACCTGCACATTCCTATCTACATTTGGTTTTTTAGGGATATATGTAGGTTTCATGAAATTCCTTAAAGTTTCACTTTCCTCTTCAAGTAGTTCATGGCATGGTAGGAGTAAAAGTCTGCTATTTGTTCAATTTAGGATGATTGCTATACCATTTCTGTGGAATGGACCTCTTCTCACTTCGTCAGAAGATTCTTCGTGGTTGACTAAGAATGGAGAATTTTTGTTGTACTACTCATCAAAAAAACGTTGTTCTGAATTTAAATGTTCATATTTGAATAGTGTTGGGGTTTTCCAGCGCTTGCCTGATGTTAAGACATCTGTTTACCCCTCCTCTTCTCTGCTCATTGTCTTTTTTATGTACAGACACATTTTCTGCATTTAATGTCATCAAACAGAAGGTGAAACGTATCTTCACATTTAATGAGAGTTAATATGTGATAATATTTGGGCGTTTTCGTTATGCGAGACAGAGTTCGTTTTATGGAACATTTTCCGATCCATGTGCGCATTCATAATGCAGGATGTTCTTGCGCAAGGAACCATTGCATCTGGACGATTGAATGATGCCATAACCCGCCCAGGCAACTTTTCTTTTCCACTTATCCACCTTCGCTGGTGAAATACAAATGCAAAGGAAGGCAATTTTTATTTCTGTTTATACCATTGCATTTCAAGAATATTAGGCTATTAAGAAATTAATCTTTTTAGGAAAATATAATGCGAAACACGACAGCTTTTAACAATGCTAAATGAGCTAATTGTTTTTTATTTGCTTAAGTGTACAGCATACTTATTTCTCTTGCAATTAAAAGAAGATAATGCAAATAAATTTTATTTATTCAAACTTTAGAACTCGGCACATATCCCATTTTTGTTTTTCAGGACTTAAATTTAGTACATGAATCATTTTTTTAATTGCATAAACAAAACGTAAAATTTATTGCATAATAACCGAAATGAAACTAAATTCTACATTATATTGACTTCAAACAATAAAATTTGTAACAAAATTCTCATTACTAAATTTTTTTCTTATGCACTTCCTAACACATTTATGATTTCAGCAAAAAACATGTTACTTTTGTTGAAAACATCATCAATTTTCCGTGGTGAATAAAGAAGCTGCGGATTATTGAAATTCCTGATACCTGCAAAAGTCCGACTGTCTAGCGATATTTCGCTGCAGTTTCATATATTGTCATTCTTATTTCGAAACTGTCTGTATGTAAGCATGTAATACTTTGATCTAAGCATAGAGAATTCTTTTCCTACGAACTTCCCGAGGCAGTTTTCTTTTACTTGTTGGATCATCTGAACGCATGTAGCAAGTATTTGCACTTATACTCGAAATTACTTCCAAGACATGGCCATTTGAAGAATGTCAATGGATGAGAATATGAAAAAATTTCGAAAATTGCTGGTGAAAAGCTGTTGTCTGTATCTTTGAATGACACAATGAATGAAATGACAAACCAAGAGAAGAGGTATGTACAGTTCTGAAACAGCTTCCATAAATGATAATGTGGTTAGGACAGCTATTTGCCTCTTATAAATGGCTTCATTCACCATTATTTCTTTTAGCTTCAGAATAAAATTACTGAGTAACACAGTGAGGTTTTAGATATTTTGCAACTAAATATAAAATTATTAAATATATTTCACTTAATATAAGCAGTATTAATCTTTTGAAAACTTTCTACTCAGCGGCAGAAGTAAAGAAAAATATACGAAATCGAAATGAATTTCTTACCCAAATTTCTTCTGTTTCTACTGCTCTGCAATAATGTGGATATCTCTTGCAAATAGTTTTATCAGCTAAAGTACAGTGATCGGGATATTTTGCACAAAACTTGGTTCTCATAATTCTAGAAAAGAAAATTAAAAAAAAATAAAGGCAACTTGATAATGACGTCTGAAATATTTAATTAACTTATTTATTGCTTACATCGAAAGGGCGATATAAATTAAATTCACATTGTTATCCTCGATAAAGTAATAAATATTAAATCATAAAATAACACTGTATAGTGTGTAGTAATATTTGCCATAAATACATATATTACATGCATGCATACATTTATTGATGTACCTATATTTAATTCTATATATTGTTTACCTTTTTCTTATATAAAAACCAATAACTGTAACATTATAAAAAATAAATTAGTACAATAACTCTGAATTGTAAAAATATAAGATAAAATTTTGCTCATTGCTTTTCCAATAATAAACAGTCAGTTACACAAGGACTGAATGCTGTATAAAAACGAATTTAAAAAAAACGGTGAATTAAATTAAGTATTTTATAATCTGACGTAAATCTTTTTACTTCCTTGTCCGAAGTAAAAAGGAAGTATTGTCAATCATAATTTTATTGACGTCATGAAGAAATTTTACGCCTGCGGTGGACCTTCTCCAATCCAAGCACATAAATTAAGTGCCAGTTTTTCATCTTCAGTCATAATTTCATTGAACCATTTCAAGTAGAATTACGATCTTCTTCCGCTTCTGCAGTCAATAGATAAAAGACAAAAAAAGAGCATATTTAGCTTTCTCTCCGAGATCTTTGACGATAGTTTTTGAGCAGTGTCTTTGTAACGAACTGAACATTGAGCTATCATTTGTAGAGAAAGGATATGATGTTTTATAACTTTTCGGATATTCTGATCCGTTCAGGGCTAAGAACAGTGATTTCTTCTGGGAATGTCATTAACATCTTCGCAACCATTACGAAGAAGAAAATGGAGTGGATACGAGTGATTTCTCACTAAACCTACTGGTTAAAATCTCTCCGTTGATATGCTTTCCTGGCGCATTCGTTTTCCACTGTTTTAAACATGCTAGTAAAAAAACGCTTTGTAAGTAAAATAAAAGTTTTTTTCGGTCACATTATTAAAATGCTTTTCAAAATTATCACAAATTACAGCAGCATTAGCAGTTTGCAATGAGCATAAAATTAGTTATTATTAAATGCACTTAACAGCATGATAGGCCAGGCATGGAATTACTTCTGTGTTGCTAAAATATCGATGGAGAATTTAAGTGACAGGAGTGCAATAAAATTGTATCCAGTAATTATTACATTAATCAATAATAATTTAATGTTAGTAAACGCAATATAGTTTTTTCGGGAATCCTCCATCTATTAAAGAACCAAAGGTGGAGGAATATGAAGAAGATAAAGACTAAATAATGACTTCTAGACTGTAAACTTCTAAAATTATTTTACATACTTAAAATATGAAACATGGTGAATAATACTGTTTCGTAATGTAAATATGAATTTCTTCAAAGGTTAAAAAATTAGATTCCATTGAAAACTGTTTAAATTACACATTCTGATAGTCCCTGCATTTAAATGTTTACTTCGTAGTACTTCATCCATGTTTTCGAAAGCTTAGTAAAAATTTTGAAATACATGAAGCAAAAACTGTAAACTAAATTTTTTACATTAGTGAGCAGCATTTTTAAAGTTACATACTAAAATTCTAAAAGGGGAGAGATACTGCTATGAATGGAGAATGGGATTATTTGCCGCTGCGTTTTCGCAGCCGTCGTTTCGAAGTGGCCAATTCGGCGTCAAAACATACTTTTCTTTACCTGACTATATTATATCTTGCCGGATTATATTAAGATTACTTACTGTAGTCAAAACATATTTTCTTTACATGCCTCTACTACACTTTGCCATACTATTTTATTTATGTTAGTAGTAAGTTATTTAGCTAAGTAAATTTAGTTTAATAATTTTGTGTACCTATTGTATCCCTGTGGTTGTCTTAAATTTTCAAAAGGAGAAAGCTTTTGCAATTAAACATACCTTCTAGAATTGCTAAAATATTATCTAGAGCTAATGATTTTTCTAGGTAAAGAGTTTATTTAGAGGGGTTTTCTCGGTGTGATAATTAGGTGTATTGTATGCATATATTATTAGGTAATTTTTTAGTCTTTTATTCCCTAAAACTGTTGGGTCATTTTAAGATTTTTTATTAAGACTCGATTGCTTTCAAGTATTTTAAAACAATTCGCATGCAGGAATTTGCTCTACAACCAAAGTTAAGGTAAAACATATTTCTAAACTTTTGTTAAAAAAAACCAAATGGTTTGTTAGGATTTAAATTTCAAATTCCTCGCATTAAAATGTTTTGGATATTATATTAAAATTTTTATATGCAATTTTGCATAAATATATTTTTACTTATAATATAAAAGTAATTTATTATTAATTTTAAAACAGAAATGTACGAACAGGATTCCAGGTAATTCCGTTTTGAACTGAGATTTCAAAAAATGTGAATTTCCTGCTTGCATGAGTGATTTTTTTGAACTAGCTGATTAAAATTTTAAGCAATTTTGACGAATCATGTGAATGTTGTATCTGCATGATTTTAGAAAAGATAATATAGCTTCTGTTATATGAGGTTTAGCCCATAATTATGAAATGTAATAAATTTGTTCTACTCGATACTAGCATAATTTTATGTATAAACTATGTGGAATTTACTACTAACTATGTATAATTTTTATATCCCATATTTGTAAACAATTACATAGGTATGTATACTATAAGCAACCTTGCACAGAAATTTTGCCCGTAAGCAAATGATATTTAATTAAAAGCTATTTTCAAGAGGCTAATAAATATTGTCAATTAACGTCGTTCACGTTAGCTGTTTTCTACTTCCTTGTACGAAGTAAAAAGGAAGTATTGTAATCGCGAAAAGTTTCAGGTAACATATTTCAACGAAAATATCCATTTTGACCGCTATCGAATGCAATTTAACGATGTTTTTGCGTGATATCTGTACGTAAGGAAAGAATAAAAGACTCTTTTCCTCCAAAAAAATTATAAAACTGCTTTAAAATTAATTCTGAAGAGAATTTTTCGTAGCATCTGTATGAATGTATGTACATACCTACGTACGTATCTCGTACGACTCAAAAACGAGTAGCCTCAGACGTAGAAATTTTGTATATAGGACTGCTATAACATGTTGATGTGCACCTCGTATTTTGGTTGCAATCGGCCGCACCAAACGTATATAAATATATTTATATATATATCCACTCTGTTACCCGGCTCAGTGATCTCAGTTTCTTTACTCTTATATGTTTATAAATTGTACATTTTTTGCTTTAAAAATGATTGAATTATGTTGTTTTTATCTTCCGGTTAAGGTTTTTATGTCTTTAGTAAATCTGTATGCAATAGTTTTAGAATTATCAACAATTTAAAAGCTGTTTAAGTGCGGTTAAGTTTTAAATAACATGGCGGACATATTTGTTTACATTTGGAACTCATGCTTAATCCTTTCTTGAATTTTTTCGAGGAAATAAGTGTTTAAGATTTACTTCATAATTTTTAATGCAGATATTTCGAGTTTTTATGTATTTTTGCCTTGCCGCGAAGTGAGAACTGAATTAATTGAATGAGAAATACTAAATCGTCTGTGAAAAACTGTTTCTTTTCTGTTTTGTTGGCTTAATTTCTTTCATACAACATTTTAGCTTTATTATAGTATTTGAATAGAACATGTGGCAACGATAATTCTTCAAATGATATAAATTTTGTGCATTCAGAGTGTCGTTATAGTAAACAAATATAGTTAATTTTAAAGAGTGCATTTGTTCTATTGTGGTTTATGCGCTATCGACGAAGTAGATTTAATTCAATCCAATCAGTTTAAATGAAATTCAAGAAAAAATGCGTATAATTTAATATTCCGTACAAGGAAGTTGTGTGGTGTACACATCAGATTTTTTTAATCTAGTCCTAGAACTTTATGAATGCACCTTATATTAGATTATTTTAAGAGTAATGTAATGTTTAAGACATTTTCAGGGAACATACTTACGGATTATCGTTACAGAAAGTGTAAGCTGGAACTTCTATACTGGTTGGTTTATCTATGGCAATCTCCAGATCCGTAGGATACTGAAAAGCATATTGTAGAAAGGTGACACATTGGTACAGGAAACCAGTAAGACAAAACAAAAGCACTAAAGTTCGGAATATTTTCCGACGAATATCGGCAGTACATAAGATGCTTGACACAACACTCACAGTTGAGTCCATAAAGACTTTAATGACATATTTTTTCAAGGAAATTTTTTTCACATTCGCTGTTTCAATACCTTTATCCTCATTACTGGAAGATGGCATCTTTTATCGTATTCTTTAGTTAATTTTCAATTAAGTTGCTCAAATTTCTGCAAAAAAAATGCTGATTTCAATCACTTGGATTACAGTTAGTTTATGAATAATATGAAGAATATTATATACAGCAATATAAGAAAAATGGGTATTTAGTTTTATATTTTTTAAACAGAATAATACAAATTCAGAAGTCAAACAACAAAAATCAGCGTTATGCCTACAAAATTTTCACAGGACTAGTTTCGATGGTTTTACTGAACCATCATCTTCAGCTGCAAAACCGCAAATGAACAAGATAGGAAATAATGATTAGATGAGATAAGAAAGCCTGGACAAGAATAAGCAAGTGGCGCCATCTGTTGGCGAACCCAGAACTAAAACATAATTTCGCTAAAAGCCGAAGGCAAATTTGGATTGGAATTAAGATCGTTAACTAGAACAGAAAGATTTTTATGAATGTGAAATGCCTCTAGAAAATCCAGTTCTCCAATGGAAGATGTTTTTTAAATAATTTTGGCAGCAGAAAAATTGAAAGTTTGATTTTCGGACCAACAATGTTGAGCAACAGAAGACTTCCGTGTTTCCTTTTTTCTAACATATGCCTCATGTTCTTTGACGCGAAATTTTAAGGCTCTCTTAGTTTGGCCAATGTAAATTAAACCACACTGGCAAGGAATCCTATAAATACCCCAGGAATTCATATCCGGAATGGGGTCCTTGAGTATAGAAGTTGGAATTTTATTGATGGGAGAATAAACAACCCGAAAGTTAAATTTCTGCAAAATATGTGCAACTTTATAGCTAATTGATGGAAAGAAGGGAATGACAACAGAATTTTTATAATCTCCTAAAATAAGAGTGTGGCTTTTAGTGTGTTCAGAGATGAAATTTTTAACTGCTTGATTAATAATGTTGGGTGAAAAGCCCCTGTCAATAGCTATTGCTTTTAAATAATTTAGTTCTTCATCAAGGGCTAATTTGGAGGAGCAAACTTGAAGAGCACGGAAAACATAGGAATAAAATGAAGCTAACTTTTGTTTAGTCGGATGACATGATTTAAAGTGTGGTGGAAGGCAAACCGATGAAGGTTTACGGTAAACTGTAGTACTGAAGTTGGATGTGTTACGTGTGACCAGAATGTCGAGAAACGGAAGAGAATTGCAAGTCTCAAGTTCAAAAGTGAACTGAATAGCATAATCAATAGAATTCATTGTTGAAAGAACTTTATTTAAATTTAAATTGTGTCTTAAGAATAATACAACTCTTAAAATGACATTATTTTGTTCTGTAACACAATATAAACTATGTAATTTAAGAGTACTTGGTTGAGTTAAAGACTAAATGGAAAGAAGTTTCTGATAATTCCTAAAATAATACTAAGAACTTAGTAAATGATTCGGTAATAAACAAAGGCAATATATCAAAAGTACTTGTTTTCCGTTTTTCAAACCATTTTTACCTTCCTACTTTTTAAAACACCATTTCTACTAAATAAATAACTACTAACTAATTATTCTGAAAATTAACTTTTTAAAAATAATTAAAATTTTTATAGTCCTGTTAAGTTTCAACACTCAGTTCAATTAAAAACTTTCTTGTTTTTGCAAAATCTAAATAGCGATTTTAATTCTTCAGGCAAGGTTTTCCTCTCTTTTCTTGCAAAATTTCAGAACCCAAAAACTTTTACATACTCATCACTCGGACTGAAACAGTCTAACAAATTACAGAATTTACAGTATTCCAATTTTCCATTCATAATCTACCTTTTCACAACAAAAGAATTGAAATATTTTATTAAATTTACATTTTTATTTCATTTTTTCCTTTTAATTTCAAGGAATAATTGATTTTAAGTATTTTCTGCCCCAAAATAAGTTTATAATTCCACAATTTTAAAGTCGTAGGACAGGAATTAAAAGGACAGAAAGATTTATTATAAGTATGTTAATTTTTTTAGAAATAAAAGAGAAATAACGAAATTAAAAAGGAGACTTAGAAGAAGACCTGAAAGCTAAAAGCTGAAAAACGTTCTTGTAAGATTCGAATACAACTGAAAACTTAATAGAAATTCATTACCGGGATAAAGCGATTTTTGATATTCTAAAGGAGACGATTCTGCCTAAGAAGAAAGTACAGTATTGAGTGAAACCCATTTCGGCTGTCTTGGAAAATAAAGAAAACAGGGGGAAATAGCAACAGAGTGCCAGAGACAATGAAGAAGTGTGGAGTTTACCGAAACAAGTCATGTTGGTTAAAGTGATTCAGATAGCAGAAAAGTGCTAAGTGTAAAGGTGAGCCAAAGATTATGTGGTAAAACTATTGCACTAAAAACCTGGTAAAACTTATTAAACTAATTAAATTTGAAATTAAATAACGCTAAAACTTTATCAGTCTTTTCTGTAGTTATAAACGAGGAAATAACTGCAACCTTAATTTGGCAAATAGTTTGAATTAAACTCTATCTCTTTCAATGGCGAAGAGACATAAGTCCTCCTTCTTTAAGAGCTAAATAGTCTTGAAAAAAATGGGTACTTACGTATTATCGCAACCAGGTTGGCGCTATTTGTAAGTTTGAATAAAAAAGTATGAATAGAAAGAAAATGTACATTTATTAATTACAGATAATTTTTAATACAGTTTTTTTATTATTTTGTTTTAAAATATAAAATAGCAATTAAACCCTTCCGGTTTCGAATTTGAATAAGTTCCTAATTATTTTTTCAGCGGAAATCTTTTGGCTATTGCTTTTAGCACTGATTGAAAACCGTATTCGCCATAACCATGTACACGTCGACTTACTTTTACTTAAAAAAACATCCCAGAATTGCACAAAAATAGCATTGCGCACACTCTTGACTATCCATGTACACTGCTATTTTCTCATAAATTACAAAAATTTGCACGAAAATGGAGGAAAATTTTGTGAATCTGCGCATGCTCTTTTTACAAAACTACGTATAACACGTAGGGTTGCCGTAAGTAGGGTCGCCAAATTTCGCAATTTATGCGAATTTTGGCCTGGTTGCGTTAATACGTAAGTACCAAAAAATGTTGATGTATTTGCAAGGATATATCACATTTTCTAGAAAAATATGGAAATTTATGTAAGATTTCTTATTACTCTAATTAAATCTTAGTTTAAAGAGTATAAATAGTATGCTGCATATCCATCAAAACGTTTTACTCAATAGAAACCAACAGAGACATTAGTTATATATTTTCACAATAGAGGCAGACTGGGAGACTATGCGTATTCATTCCAATTATAGTTAAATTATTTAAAAAAATTTGCATTTAATTTAAAAATGATTTACATTTAACATTTATTACATAACAATGATTTAATGCTCAAAATTTCTTTTACAAGTTATAATTACACTTATTATAAATATTACAGATTCACAGAATTCTATAAATATGTTTAATGCTAACAGTATACACTTTTTTTTTTTTTTTTTGCAAGAAAAGTATTTAAAAGTTATATATTTCCTATATTCCTTTCACAGGAAATTTGAAAAATACCGAAGCATTTGAACTACATTATCAATAGTTTCCAAGATGACAACTTTGAAATTTATAACATTTTAAAAATATCGTAAATTTCATATAATTTTTCTCTATTTCGCATAATTTGTGCCTAAAAATAAATAAAACGTAAGAAATAAAGTATTAAATAAAAGAAAATCGTATAAAATATGATTAAAAATGTATAATGCAAACTAAAGAATAGACTATCCTCAGTAATGGCAAGGAGATCTTAGTAGCTGAGGAAGTGAAAGCCACGAAATATCTCTTTACCCTTGAATTCACTTATTTCCCTCCACCAAAAATGTATAATTTTCGTAAAATGCACATACGGACACATTTCGGTATCAGATCTTAAACGCGAACACTTTTTTGTCAAAATTTCTCAATACAGCCATCCTTTCTCTTAGCCAGTTATTCCTCGTGTTATCTGAGTTCGAAATAATTATTTATTATATTCCTGATGCTAATAAGTAGTGGGCCAAGGAATCAATACTATACAAAAAAAATCTCATACATTTAGTTTTCTTACATTTTGAATTTGAGTCATAATTTCAAAACGTATTAATCCTAATAACTAAAGTTCTAATTTGAATAAAAAAATTAGCATCTTCTGTTGGAAAATAATAAATTTTATACTTTCCTATTATTTGTTACATTGTATCAAAGTAAATTATAAGATCAATTCCTCACCTGAGGCATAACACCAACAGACCGACAGAAGACGAACCCCTTTAAGACAAACAGAATACGAAGATCTGGAAACAATAGCTTGCAGACAAGATACACTTTCGCCTAGTTTCAAATATTTGGCGACCGGCTACCAGGCGCCTTTTTTTCCAGGGAAGGGGAAAGTAGTGCTTTGCTAGGCGAAACGTTCCAACGAGTGAAAATAGAGCAAAAGTAGCTTACTAATTAAGGAATTGTTTTCTTCTTTTTCAACTTGACATAATTTTAAAAATAGTGCTTTTTTGATTTCACTATTTTGAAGGCTAAAATATCAAGAATACGTTAGCACTTATAAGTCATGGTATGAGAGAAATTTGAATAAATAGCAATCAGGCGATAAGTTATAGAATTAAATTAAGATATAAAATGGCAGACCGAAAAAATATTTTACTCTTTAAAGCAGCATGGAAAATATTTTTCATATTAACTAATATTTATCTTTCAGAACATGTAATCAGTTGTTCTAAATACGCTAAAATTAAAAACCATACTTTAAGAATACTCTAATATCCAGTTAGAGAAGAAACGAATACAGAAATGTATGCATGCTGATATTAAAAATCTGAAACATTATTGAAGTAAGATTATAACAGATATTTCCGACTTGCTTTTATAAAATTAAATTGTCAGCATTTTCATAAGAATTAAGGGAATAGAACATAAATCAAATAAAATTATTCGTGAAATTTCCCCTAGTTAATTTTAATAATGGGGGTAAACTCTAGTTAATTTTTAATAAAGTATAAAATTTCGTGTAAATCTTATAAGATTATTTTCTTCCTCCTTCAAGCATGCCTTT